CCGGAGATCAAACAGATTTGGCTTTGAAATGCGCCCTTTGGGCCCCTGGGAAGGCCTCGCGGCCAGGGGACTCGTGGCTTTGCTTCAACGAGCTGAGCCAAGTGGAGGACCCGATTTTGGCCCCTTGGGCCCATTTTTGGGGCGGCGAATTCGGGGGCAAAGATTCAAAAAGAGCGATTTAGGCCAATCCTTGTTCCAGGCGAAATGATTGTAGAATTTGCAGACTTTCAGGAAACCAACATGAAAGCTTTTGGACGAAGCCATCGTTTCACAAGCTAGGTTGAAGCCATGGTTGGCCCCCGGATGAGAAAGATAAGTTCCGGGCTGGCATTCGTTATCCCTTTGTTTGGGGTAGCTGACTTGGTGAGCTGGATGCCAAAGTTTGCAGTTTGCTCTGGAAGCTCTAGAAGCGATTCTCGGACGGAAGCGAGTTGGTTGATGGAACAGTTTACGTCGGAGGGTTGTTGGCTTGTTCTCAAAAGCGAGAAGGGAGAATTTATCTAGATGAGACAAATGCCCTGTGAACTTTCCTTGGTGTTTGTGAAAGGGGCGCGTACGCCACAATTTGGAGGACCTGTGCGGATCAGCCACATCAGGCATCGTGTTCCAACGGTTGTTTCTTATTTGACCCAATTTCCGTACTGGGTAGCTAAAGCAAGTCTAATAATCCAAGGCACGCACGAGGCTGAGATGGGCAGGTACGGGTTTCAGCGGTCTGAGCATGGGACAGGTTTGGTCCACTCACGGCTCAAATGAGATACAGTTGACGGACAAAATCCTCATTTTGCCACCTAATAGGCAGCGCACCCCGCTCCCCCCTTTTCAATGTTGTTCCAATGTTAAATGGGGAGCAAGGTTTTCGGGTAAACTGTGGCGAAAGCGGTGCAGACTTGAGGCTGGGTCCTCAATCGGCAGGGGCTTCCACCAAAGATCAGCCTGGAACGGGCCCCACATGCTGTCGCAAGGATCACGAAGCATTGCAGTTTCACGGCCCTTCAGGGCCTTCCCTTAAGCTGCAATGATAGGACGCTTGTAAACCCCGCCAATTTCATATCAGCAAGAACATGAAGGATCCCTCAACAAGTCGTATTGATCAACTCGGAGGTTATTCATCAACTGGGTTCCCGTTGCGCTTGACTTTGACTGGTCAACGAGGTGGAATCTTACGCGGTTGCCCTTTACTAGAATGAAGAAAGGATTCAAGTTCTTGCTAACTGTCCCTTTGAATCTTTTGGAATCACCAAGTCGCAAAGATTCTAAGGTTGAGGTAGCCAACAAATTATTGGTCACTTGCCCTTGGCGCTTGCTATCGCTAGCGAGGAGCACTATTCCCTCACAGGGGTGTCGCCTGTGCGAAGCAGCGTCGGCAGCACAGCGGGCGGACTGGAAAAATGCTGGGGTCAACGGCACAAACTGAGGAGTGGGATTGTCTGGCCTTCTTTGGGGGGTGGGGGGGGCACTCTTTTGGCGTTTCACAGGAAACCGCTATTTTGAGGCCCCTCCGTTTTGACAATCTTCCCCCCTAAGAATTGTATTTTGAGGGGGGGGGGGGGTTACCCCAGTGAAATTTCATTTTTTGTTGCACTTTTGCCGGGGGGGGTGGGGGGGCTGGTTGTGAATCACGGAGGGGGGGTCTCCCGCTCATACAACAGGTCTACAAACCTCTACCCAACACAAAAAACGGCCCCAAAATATTTTGTTTAAGAAGGGGGGGACCCCGACCAAAACGGTTCTCCCGCTTGCGCCTGGGAGGACATTACTGGCCCTGCACCCCGCTCAAAAACTGGTGCCTCTAAAGAGAAATGGCTCGAAAACCACCAAACTGATGACAACGCTTCCAAGAAACTGCTGCTTGCGGGCTTTGAGCGGCCACCAAGCCGAACGCTCGTCCCAGAGAAGGGTTGCATCCTTTCTGCGGGGTTAGGGTCCACAATTGAAATATTTCAAGGGCTACCCCCCCAAAAAAAAAAGAATGCAATTTTGGAGGTCCCCCACTCCCCCCACCTTAGGGACGGGATTTTTTTGACACGACCATGCACTTGAATGGGGTCCCCTCAAAAGTTGTCGGTAGACATTCCTCAGAAGCCCCATGCCGTTTTCCGCTTGATCGACTTATCTCGCAGCAAGCACTCCCAAGCCACCAGCGTGGTTGAAGAGGTGTTTCAAGCTACGTGTGAAAGGCAGTATCTCATCATGAAGGTGGAACCCAACGCAGTTGAAGCCCTAAACTTGCTTAAGAAACAAGGATGTTGCTTTCAGACAGGGGAAGTGACGTTTTACTGTCCTTGTTGCATTGTAAACCGTGTTCTTACCATGTGATCAGGGGTGAGAGGGAAACATCCTTGGCAATGGGCACTCCTGACGCTGGAGCTGCAGCAGCCATAAATTCAAATTGTCGCATGCTCCCATTGTGCCGGGCACACTTACAGCCACCTCACCTGCATGGGGTGGGGGGGGGTGGGGCCGTAGGGCCTCATCCATGAAGGCTCCTTTGATAGATTCGCTATTTCAGATTGTGGGTTGGAGTGTGTTCATCAGGCCGATGCACGTCGTTCAGGTTTGTAGAGAATTGGGATTTAAGGCCACTTTCCCAAGAGAGTATGTCTTTCAAAGTGGTCATGTGGTCAGGGGCCTCCTTTTGGGATTTCCCGTATGCGTCAATTTCAGTTCCCTAGGTCCTGCTTCTGCTGTGTGGCGAGGGCCAGCTTCATGTGCGATCTGTGGAAGGCCTTGGAAGTTGGAAGGTGGTTCAGACCTCCAGCGCCCCCGTTTTCCTTTTGGAGGATTCGCGCCCCTTTTTTTCCCCTGGCTGGAGGTTTGGGGTGGGAGCCTTTCTCTCTCTCTCTCTCTTACCAGGGTCACTGGCTCCAGTGGAAGGTGGGATTTGTAGGCCAGCATGGTTGCGCATGCCCTCATATGCAGGCTTTGTGCAGGAAAGGCTCAGGCAATCTGATTCTGTTGATCCGCTGGCTTTCATGACGGAGCTTGCATTCTAAACCTCGAACGAGGGATTCCATTCTGTTCACCCATGGAACATTGTGGTTTTCCAAAGCCCAAACTTTGGACGCGTGAAGGCAGCGAGAGCGAATATTCACCTCCCCAGCTTGGCTGCGACGTGGTCATGAGGGCAATATGTCATGGTAGAAGGGTTATGCGGCGGGGATGTCTTTGAGAGTATTTCTTGTGGGGGCTTTGGGGATGTTTGGACGTTTGGGGCCGAGTTTCTTTCGTCGTTTATTTGGCCTGAGCCAAGTGCGGGCAGGGTATTTTCCTAGACATTTTCTTGTGATGCCTATACCAATGTCACAATGTTAGGGATTTGCTTTGGGGGGTTATCAGCAGGCGGTTTTATGGCTTTTTGATCCGCTGATGAGCCCAAAGGGCTGATCGTGGGCTTATCCTGCCAGGGGGTACTGTAATCAAGAGGACGGCATGGACAATCAACAAGTGACAACTAGAAAGCGGTGGTTCGGTGGTTGCTCACGAAATTCCAATGTGGGCATGGATGAACCGATGGCACTGGTTCTCCGGAGGCAGCTCCGACAGTGCCAGTGCCAAGGCCGAGGCTGCGGGTGGCAACACTACTTGCCTTATGGGATTCCAACCCCTTCCTTGGTTTCCTCGAAATAAAGCATTTAATTATGGCCTTCTTCGGGGCTTATTTTGTGGAAAACCGTGCGAGGGGGGCAATCCTATGATGGTGACCCTAGTTTGTTCGCAGCTTTTTTAGAGCTGATGGTTGCTCGATCGTGAAAGTCTGGGAGGGAAGACATGCAGATCAGCTTCTTAGACCAATAGACTGACGTGCGGGGCTATTTGTCCCGTTTGACGCTCGATTTTGGAGTTTGCTCAACTTGGTAGCGAGTGATTTTGGGTCAGCAAACATACAAGAAGTGCAGCAAGATGGATTTTCGGTGGCTAGCCCGATGTTTAACGGAAGAAAGTGCAAGGGCTTGCCAATGCCAAAAGGCTGAAGTCTGGCAATCTTCGGGTGCGCACGACCTTTTCCATTCCTGTGGCTGCTTGTTTTTCTCCTGGCTGGCGCCAAGCAAGACCTGTTCAAAAGATGCAGTTTCCTCACTCGACCGATGTCATCGTGAAATGAGGGGCCCCGAAGAAGCCATCGAACCACACTGACATATGTTTGGCTGTTCCAATCAATCCAGAATGCTTCTGCCATATGCTTTGTGGTTTTGCCTCCAGTGGTGTCCCACTGAGGATAAGGGGTCTCTCAGTTTGAACAACCCGGTATTTGTGTGACGCGTTTGCTTGAGCCTCAAGCATGGGAGCCCAGTTGCACGCTGTGAAGGAGCGCAGCGCCAGAGGTTGTCACAACCCGAAACCAGACACTCGCTTCATGTTGCATAAAGTTACGCAACTGTTAGCTCCTGTTTGCTCTTTTGCTTCTGGGGTGAAAGGACGACTTCCTTGAATGGAGGGCCTTACATGCCGGATGCGCTCGGAAGCCATGAACGCTGAGTAGTGCGTTTGGTTGTTGGCATGTTTCTGACTGGGTAGAACCACCATGTGTGTGTGTACGAGAGTGCAATTGCTTTTGTCCGGAGAAATCAGAGCGACCGCCATGTTGGGGTCCCATCCCCCTGCTTTAGCGAGCCACACCGTAAAGAAAGTTCCCCTGAGACAACGGTCTCTTGGCATCTCTTGGCACAAGCCACTCGCAGGGCGAGTCTACTGCCTTTTCGCACTGGCGGCTCAGCTGCATTAGCTCCAGCAGGGTTCCTTAGAAGATACAGTTTGGGCCACGAAATCACCCAAAGACCAGCTGATGTACAGGATCCGGTTCTCTGCAAAGCAGGCGGCCTTTTTTGGAACCTTGGCAGAGGATTCTGGGCTGAAGCCTTGGCTGTAGATGGGTGTCCTTTGAAGTAGGAGAATATATGTCAAAAAGTAGGGAGACCCTCCAAATTTGTGGTTTCCTTTTGGCTTTCCCTTCAAGCCAGAATGAAATGATACCCTGTTTTGCTTCGCTAAGGTGGTCGCCGCAATTGAATGAAGAGGGCCAAGAGGACCGATGTTTGACATTTGCTTTGCGAGGCTCGTCTTTCGGCATGAGCGCCCAGTTTTCAAAGTCATTTGATCAAGAGCTTACCGCAAACTCTACCTTGAAGTGCCCCGCAGATCAGACGCAATGGAGCACACTGTGTCACATTGTGCGTGTGTGCGTGTGTGTGTGTGTGTGTGTGTGTGTGTGTGTGTGTGTGTGTGTGTGTGTGTGTGTGTGTGTGTGTGTGTGTGTGTGTGTGTGTGTGTGTGTGTGTGTGTGTGTGTGTGTGTGTGTGTGTGTGTGTGTGTGTGTGTGTGTGTGTGTGTGTGTGTGTGTGTGTGTGTGTGTGAAGCGTCCTGGAGCACGGACGGAAATTCCACATTGCAGGGGGACTGGAGCCGATTTGCCTATCCAGTCCAATGAAGCTACGGCATTTCGGTGGATACCGGATCTGATCAATCCGGCGTACCTGCCTATTTCCTGACCCTCTTTCCTGATTCTTTTTGCGGTTTCTGTTTGTCGCTGTTGCTTCCTGTTCGGTGTCGATGTTGTGACCTGTTGATTTGCATTTGCATTCAAGCATTTTTACTGACTGCGGTTTTCATCTCGGCTAGTGAAGCCTCTCGAGATAAGTGTGTTTACCCACGGCCTGTCCGACATGGCGCTGTGGGCTGGACTCGCCACATGCGGGAGCCCCCTGCGAGGGGAAGACCGTTCATACGTTCAAATTCAACCTGCCGTTCAGCGCGTTTGACCACGATCAAGGCTGCAGCTTGAGGTCTTAAGGTATTCCGCACCCAAATGGTGCTCTGCTGGTTTCATGCGCGTTGCACTGCCTGCACTGCCTGCCTTTGAAGCAAGGCTGCACCCACGAGGTTTCAGGTTCCTAAGCTTCATGCGCCAGTGACGAGTTGGTCATACACCAACTCTGCAATTCGTGGTGTTTATGGAAGCTTTCGTCTCGGATGAGTTCAGTTCAGATTCATCGGCATAGCCACATGAGGCACTTTCATGAGGCCACTTGACAGGCACCTCTGAGAACCCCTTTGTGCTCGCATGCATTTGCACCATTGACGCATTTTTGCTCGCATGCATTTGCACCATTGACGCATTTTTGCCGCAGTTGTGGTTTTGTTTCACCTCTTTCCAACCTTCTCTCTCCCTTGCGAGATGGCTGGACACCAGCTCTATGACATGATGCATTCGCTCCTGCACAGCATTGCGACCGGCACCGCGTCCGGCTCGCCAGGCAATTGTGGACCGAACTTGCAGCTGTCATCCCAGATGACGCAGCCCATGAACCTTGTACCGTCACCCAACTCGCAGACGGCATCCTTCACACCTTTCCCCATGATGCCCTACGGCGGCCTCTCGAACTTTGGCAACCCGATGGCCATGATGCCCTACGGTGGCCCTCCCAATTACGGCAACTTGGCACCTGGCACCATCATGCCTTTCATGACTCAGAGCAGCATGCCATCTTCACTGCCCGAGCCTCAGCCGGCGCGCGCGCCCGAAGCTGCCGCTGCGGCTCCTGCCGCTACCTCCTCAACCAACCACCCTCCCCCGGACACTCGGCACCATCCCCACTCTCGCAGATCCCGTTCCCGCCACAGACAGCACCGACACTCCCACTCCCACACCAGCCACCATCGCAGGCACAACAAGTCGCACCGACGACACGACACCCGACGATCCCGCAGCTACAGCAGGTCACGTTCCCTTCCCGACACTTCCACCACTCCCGACGTGCACACCACTCCACTGTCTCCCTCCGCTCCCGCTCCCCCCGACACAGGTCCCACCATCGACACTCCCCTGCACCCAGAGCCACGACTTCGCACCGACCCACTCACACTACTCATGATTCCACCTCCTGGCGCACTTCCGGGAAGGATTCCAACAAGTCTCAATGGTCCTCCTCACACTGGCGGAACAAATCGTGGGGATACCCACCACAGAACAAAAACCGCTGGGACATGCACCACCATGGCGCCAGCCACACCGGCCACCGAAACAACCAGGACAAACGATCGTCCTGGTCACTGCAGCACCATGGGCAGCAACCCCACCCCACTTCCCGCACCGGCCACCACAATACTAGCTTGCCCCCTCACCCAGCACCTGCGGCGGCCTTCACTTCCACTCCCCCTCCCCCTCCCCGACCCACGCCGGCTACTCCTCACCCTCCCCAACCCCCCTTCGACAACACCGGTGATTTGGATCCCCCTCCATCGGAGGCGGACATCAATGCCACCACCACTTCCGACAACCGGTGGCTTGATCTATGGAGAAACGTCATGGACACGGCCAAGACTGACCCGCTGCGAGTTCCCACGCCTAGGGAGTTGGGGGAGCTGGACCCGCTTCCAGCCTTGGACATCTCCAGGGTGGAACAGACTAAGGCCATTTTGATGGACCTGGACCCTGCTTTGCCACCTTCACATGCCGATCTCCTCGCGGAATGCTGGGAACTGCGAACCATGGACACGGATGATCCCATACCGTTCGATCCCAGCTTCTACCACCTCTTGGGACGGGAATCACACGGCATGGTGTTCGCAACCACTTGGTTTCCCCGACCTCATCCTTGGCCAGTTGCTGGCGGAGACCCGGAAGCTGGATCCGGCACGGCCTCCCATCACGCTGTCATGTATGTGCACGGCACCACCCCGGATCGAGTGCGCCGCATGTGCCATGAGAACATGATCCGACCCGCTGCTTGGAGGCCCGAGAACCATGACTACCCGAGCTTTGGATGCTACGCTCAGGCCACCCCCACGGCATGCACGCCCGACACGCTCGGCCAGCTCTTGCAGAACTTTACAATCGGAAAGTCTCAACTCGGCGCCATCGCTTTTGGGGAACTACGCTCCATCAATCAGCACAAAATCCTCGAATCCGGGGGAAGCCACGAGGATCAACACAACGTGCGGCGCCACTTCGCATGCCGCCGAGGCAAAAAGTGGTGCCTTCACTCCAAGTTTGCGATGCTGAGAGGCATCGCGCTGCAGCGCCCGGCTTAGCGGGGCGCAAGTGTACCATCTTCCACCCAACCAGGAAAAGAATTGGTGCACTGTTTGATCGCCTTTTTTCTTTGCTTTGCTGTTCTGCCTTTCCGCGACCGTTCTCTCACCTTGTGACCTTACCCGCTTGATTCCGCTCACCAGCTTTTGGTTCGAACATTTCCTTTTCCCCCGTGTTTTCTCATGGCTTTCCAACCCCCTCGAGGTTTGGTTACGGCGCTCCAAAGGCAAAACTTACCACCGCAGCCTTCGCCCACGGCATCCCATCATCATGGCATCGTGTACGGCAACAACATGGCCGGGAACCCGTGCGGGGCCCTGTCCGGGCCTTCCTACGGATGCTCTTCCACGGCATCGGCACCGCCAGCTACACATCCGACTCCCTGTCAGACCTACGGCCAACCTATTCCCCGTTACCCACCACACCCCGGCCCTCGTCCACCCTCCTTTGGCGGCTCTCTCCCCCCCCCTCCCGGCGGCAACCCCTTTCCCCCCCCTCCCCCCGGCCCCTTCTCCCGCCCTCCCCCTTCCCCCTCCCCCTCCACCGCCTCGCAATCCAAACCTCCCCCGGCCCTTCGACCCATCCACTCAGTCCCAACACCAACCGAGTTCAACCCTGGCGACGATCACTACGACACCACCCGCGTCGCGGGGTACGACCTGCCCAAGGTCATAACGCACACCGCGTTTACTCGGCAAATGGGCATCGAGGGACAAGACATCGCTCGCGTCCCCTCCTCCACCTCATGCACGAACAGTGGAACAGTTGGTGGTTGCGTCACCTCGCCCACGGAGGCGAAGTCCGCATCGTTGTCGCAAAGTCGATGCCGGAATCAGTGTTTGCTGCTGGACTACTCAGCCAAATCCGACAACGGCACCTCGACCTGGACGCCCTCGCCCTCCATGTAGCCACGCAGGAGGGCGCCTCGACCACCAAACCAGCAGCCATGAAGCTACTCACCAGCAAGATCTTCGACTTCCTCATCTCCCTCCGACCCACCACTACGGCCGATCCGGCCTCCGCGGCCACCATACTCCAGCTTCAGCAACAGCTTGCTGACGCACACAACCAACTCGCCCAGCAGGCTTCATCCCCCCCTCTCCCCCCCACACCCACCTCATCCAACAAACGCCCAGCCAATCCATCTCAGGCCTCCCTCCTGGACTTCGGCATGAAGCGACCACGGTTGACTACACCTGACACATCACCGCAGGACGGATCCCCCGCTCTACCCCTGCCCACTCGCATTGCAGACGACTCCCAACCCCCCCGGCTCCCCCCACCCACGGCGGCAACCCTCCAGCCCCCTCCACCCACGGCGGCACCCCGACCCCTCCCCCCCTCCCCTCCCCACCCACTTGGAAGGAGCCCCGCGACTTGCTCCAACCACCTCCCCACGTTTGCCAATGGCTCACCAGCAACTTCCCACCCGACATTTCCGACACCAAAGTCCAGCGATGGATCACCTCTCAGAAAACCCGCAAAGAGAGCAAGCATGTCCTAAAAAGCTGGTCCAACGACTGCGCAAAATGGGCAACCACACTGGACTCCGACACCAGAGCCCAACTCGAACGAGCCGATGTGCTATGGGGCATCCCGGTGCGAACCCTATCAAAACTGGGGTCATCGGCCTTGGGCCGCATCCTGGCCGCTGCGAGTCACTTCTACCAGTGACTCTCAACCGCACACCGACAACGACGCACAGCCAGGCAGCACAAATTTTGGCAACACCACTGCTGCCAACTTCTCACTGTCCTCCGTTTCACTCTTCGGTTCTTCCCAACCGATGACGTCACCGCACGTCATTCTTGCTCCTGGCTACTCGCACAGCTTCAGCTACTTGACGTCTGCCATCTCCCCTGTGGTTCCGGCAGACTGAAAGCCCTGCTTACTCGACTTGGCCTGGACAACCCTGCTTCCGATTTCTCTTCTCAGCTTGTCCCTTCAGCGGTTTATCTGAGATTCACCAGCAATCCAAAGTGGCAGGCCTTTTTCTACCTCGGAGCCACTCGCGCCTCCCTCATGGCACGGGGCCGCAGCCAACTTCGCAAACTACTCCAAGTTCAGCGACATCATCTGGTCAATGCCGAACTGGCAGTCCGGTGGTGGGCACATTTTGACATTTTCCACCACTACACCTCGGTGCCCATTCACACTGTCGTTCCGGCAACGGACCTATTTGCCACTGAACAGTTCTACATCCAGGAACTGCAACCGTCTCTCAATTTTGGCTTCATCGAGAAACATTTCCGGCCACGCACGGGCTTCATACGCCAATTGGACTTCCCCCAATCCCGGCACATGGGCTTCGCCACCATCTGGCGAAAACGCCGCCGACTACGACTACCCATCGCCCTACAACAGGCCTTCCTGGCCAAGCGCATGAGCAACCGCCTGGATTTGTGGCGATTTTTGGGCGATCTTGGCAGCAACACTCTACGACGATTTGATGCCATCCGTTACATACGGAGCAGAGACTTCCCACCCGCCGCTCTCTATGTCCTTCATCGCATAGCCACGCACCTGCCTGAACCACCCCACCAGGCATGCCTTTCCGCCATTCGATCCAGTTTACGATTCCGGGGCCTCATTCCACCTGGCCCCTCCAGACCGATGCTTGCACCCTTCCTCGCCTGGCGACTACTGCTAACCTGGTACCGACAACGACAACCACACTCCTCTACCACACACCACACAGTGGACACACTTGACACCTCTGCCATCACCCGCGTCTACAACGGACGCCGTCGCCGACACAAACCCACACAACGCACCCTGTGGCTCGACGACATCCCCGAGATCATTCAGGCCACCCTTGACATGCAGATCTTCTCTGTCGGCCTTCGTTCATTCAGGCAAACACGTGGGGCACCGATGGGATCCCCCGCGTCCCCAGCTCTCTGTTTGATGGTGATCGCGGTCGCCGAACTATGTTGGACCAACACTCACATCACATCGGGACTTCGCTCCGTTGAAGATACTCTCCTACTCCGCTACGTGGACAACAGACTCGTGATCGCAACCCCCAGGTGGCTCTCGACTCCGGCAGCCAACATACTGTGCGTCGAACACTTCTATGGAGGAGACATCTTCCTGGACACAGAAGCCGCCCTGGACTTCTTGGGGTTCCGACTGAACCTCACAAGCAGCACCATCTCCTACATCCCCTCGCATGAGAAGCACAACATGCTCTCCGTCAAGTCAGCCGCACCACTGATGCATAAGGAATCTGGATGTTATTCCGGACGCACGCTGATCAACCGAGTTTCCTTTCCTGAGTTTCAGCGAGGTCAGGGTCTTGCAATGTTGAAGAGGTTGCACCTCCAACACGGTTTCACCTTACAAAGAGAAGAAAATCCGTCCTTTGCGGAACCACACTGGTTTTCTTCTCTGCCTTTGCATCCTGACAGATTTGACCTGATTTTCGCGCCGCAGCTGTTTGACTGTTTGACCAAAATCCGTTCCGAGCATGGATACCAACACAGCACGCCAGCTGCTCCAAGACTTCGAACTCATCCTTGGCATTGCCCAACAAGGCATCGCCACCATCCGCGAGTTCCCTGAGAGTCCGCCTGCCGAACCTGATTTGGCACTGGAGGCCACGCTCAACCCCGCCATTGAGGACCTCTTTGAGCCACCTCCTGATGCTCCAGATGAACACCTTCCCACTGATCATGACGAACAATTCCCTGATCATTGGGCTCCGCCCACCCCTCCTCCGTCTTCTCCCGGCGAAAAACGAGCTCGCCGCGCACGTGATTTGGCCTCCTCACGATCTACGGCATCCAAACCCTGCTCGTGGACCAAGCGAAGCTACCACATCGACCAGGACTGATGCCTCTACTGAGGCCGAACCTGAAGCCTCGCAGCCTTGGACTGAGGGAGAGATTGAACTCCTCCGTTCCCTTAAGACCAATTCCAAAGCCAAGTATGTGTGGTCAGTCATCGCCACAAGACTTTCTCGCACAATTGATGCACAAGTGATGTCGCCCCAGTTGGGGCTCCGTGTGTGTGAAGCGTCCTGGAGCACGGACGGAAATTCCACATTGCAGGGGGACTGGAGCCGATTTGCCTATCCAGTCCAATGAAGCTACGGCATTTCGGTGGATACCGGATCTGATCACTCCGGCGTACCTGCCTATTTCCTGACCCTCTTTCCTGATTCCTTTTGCGGTTTCTGTTTGTCGCTGTTGCTTCCTGTTCGGTGTCGATGTTGTGACCTGTTGATTTGCATTTGCATTCAAGCATTTTTAATGACTGCGTTTTTCATCTCGGC